GACATATTACTGACACAATATTGCTGGGATCTCTTTAATTTATTATCACTGATACCTCGCAACACTAACATTCTTTCTCACACACATTTGTACGATTCAAATAACATCGGTAGATTTATCACTTAATATCTTCTCACACAATCCTGCCATTCTTGTAACTTCTTTACACTAAACACTCATATCGATTTTGAAATAGTCAACTTACATTACTAATGGGGACGGCTAACTTCTGGCCGACTTGTTTCTACTCAGCATTTAACGTCTATAGTCGTAGCGTGACATCAGATTATTTTGCCTATACATATATTTTCCATTCCAGTTACCCAGGTTGAGTGCAAAATAGAATTGGATGGATGCTATATTGTTTGAGCTTTACTATCCATATGAAGTAGCAACATAAAGTAAATAAGGCGGAATAGTACTGCAATGATTCTTCTGCACAAATCGGGATACACGCATGCTAAAGTTTTAGCTAGGCAGGTGGCTAGGTATCAGTAGTATGACCGGCAAATGCAGTTACATTGAAATACACTGCATAGGTTATGTTAATAAATCAATAATTAACTTACAATTCATATAATGGCAATCGTATTCGTGCGGCTCAGTTCTGCGAGATAGGACACACTCTTGTTGATGTTCAATAGGCCAACGAAAATGCGTTCCGTCGGTTGAGAATGTAAATTAGTGACCCGATATCGAATCATTTACATGATGCTGCATCACCGTAAACCACAAGCTATATTATTTTTACAATCAACCATCCCAAATTTGACTGAAATGAGCGATGCTATTTACAGTTATGTCTTTGAAATGAGTATCCCAATGTATATGTACACTTAGCCTTAATGTTATTACAATGTATTTGTCAGACAGGAAAAGGAGGTCAAAGATATAAAGATGAAAACTATGAATGCCCTAGTTTCATTGTTCAGTGAACAGTAACGAATACAATTGATAGTTAGCCTCCTTTTCACAGTTGAGTAATTTTAATAGTAGGGATAAAAGTTAAGACAACTGATAGAAGTGCACTCTATCCCCCAGGTGATGACAGTCGCTCCCTGTAGACTATCTTCCCACACTGCTGTCTGCCAGCACACCATGAATTATGGCAGTTATCTGGCATAAATACACTCTAAAATTGAACTCTAGTACATTTGACACAATCCATCATTAACTTCCTCATTTCAGTTTAAGGTTTCCCTGTTTATAAACCTGATAAACGAAACATTTTAAATCCCGTCAATGGTGGTTTTAGCATCTATTTATTCGTTGAGGAGTACTTCATTGAAGATCGAGTGATTGCAATTAGTTTTGTTGATTCTATGTCGGATTTCCTCCAACTGCCTATCCTGGAGTTTAATGCAGATGACTGAAAAAGAACAAACGATCAATGAGTGCAATCAAAAAGGAAAGAGGGACATATTTTATGATGATCATTTCAAATGAAGAAATTGTATATATTGTTTTCTGACAGGTGAAATAAGAAATATTTGCAAACTTACTTCTCTGACATCGAGGACATTCATCACCATTACACAAAGCACACTTGTGGACGCCATAATTATCAACATCAAAAAGAAATTCTGATATGATTGTAGGACTTTCATCATGTCAGTTCTGTGTAAAAAAAAATGTGATGTAATGTAGTACATGTATCGTAAGCTAACAATTCGGTAGAACAGTGCGATATTTGATATAAATGGTTCAATATAACAAGACAAAAGTTATGTTGCATCGAGGGAACACCATTTTGCATTAAACCTCAGTAACATCAAAAAAACACTTACATTTTAAGATAATGAATAAAAAAACGGAGTTCTAATAAGATATCCAAGCTAACATTTTACTCACCGTATTAGATTGTTATTTAGAGGAAACACTATGACGTTGAATCATATTAGTGTTTGTGTATCAACACAAATCACGATAACACTAGTTCCTTAGCACAAAATAATTTCAACAACGTTAAATGATACTCACACTTCAGGTTTCTCCAGTATATAACCCGAGGCAAGTAAGGTGAACGCTACAGTAAGGTGTCTCACCAACAATAAAATCCCTCCGAGAGTCCCCACACAGGAGGCGGGACTGAGGAGTATAAGGACCTGCCACATTGTTACCTGAAACATAATACGACGTCAGACCAAGTAGACTAGACAGAGAGTCCTTAGTAGTGTTAACCATACTTCCTACATTATACATTTACATGCAACGAGATCAACTTACTGTTATTGTACTTGTTCCTATTCCAAATGAAACGGTTAGGATAAGAGGGTGGATGGCCGGAAGGAACCCCAATAGCGCATAAACAGACGTCATCCATATGATAGCAGTCATGAGAACAACTCCATGACAGCCGATATGCTTCTGTAAGTAGTGTCCATATAATTCATTTAATGTTCGTATTGATAATAGTAAGTTAGAGAAATATTACAATATGAATGCACATAATACTGCAGAATCATAGGGGTGCTAGGAAAAAGATATGAGCATTTTATTCGGGATAAGAACGCCTTTGGACTAACAAGCACGAAACAAGAACTGGTATCAGGAATCGTTTAGTGACATCGATCATTATTAAGGTTATTGTAACAGAAAATCGGGTTACCTTATTAACCCGATTTTCTCTAAGGCTACCTTATTAACATATAAAAAGCTGTCATTCAAGAAGCAAGACACATATCACATTAAGAAAGTGAGAGAAATATCATCAGCTTGAGATGCAGTACATCATTTGTTAATATACGTAAGGTATATGATAAATGTATCAGCATGAAAACTTACAATGATTAAGCTGAGGAAAGGTGCTGAAATATTGAAGAGACAAGTAACGCCGGTCATGAAGCCTGCCTCTGTTATAGTGTAGTCATACCGTGATTCTAAATACTCCCTACAACAATATAATTAACGGCATTAAAGTAATATGACAGCAACTTATTCAAAGTACGCATTTTTAAATGAGTAAGTGAGATCCCAGTTAAAGGGAAATACAAGGGAACGACACAAAGAACGATAACTTTATCAAATAATCTTACGGTAAATTGACCTGGGAGCCGATCAAAGTGCCTTGGATAAACGCCATCGCCATTATGAATAGCCAAAATTGCTTTGGCACTGTCCATATATCTGTTAGTGTCTGAAAGTAAATAAAATCGGTGTCTTAAAAAAAGATAGAACCTACTTTATTCAACAATAAACAAATATAATAACTCTCGTGCAACTCCTTTTCTGTCCTCTCTCCCTCTCCCTGTCCTTTCTCGTATTTCTGTTTGTTTAATCCACCCTCTCATCAGCATGGCTCTCTTCTGATAAGATCGTAAATGCTACTCACTGGTATTTTGGTTTTTTCATAATCGTCTGCTTCTCCGGGCTCCTGCCTTTGAAGAAGCAATACGAGACCCACTGCACACAAAAAGCTGAACCCACAGGTTACTGCTCCTAAAACAAACAAATACCAAATACATTCTACAGCCTCGACAAACTACTATGAAACCAAAATTGTATACGAAAATAAAACACGTGTAAACATACAAGAGATACATGCAAACGCCGACCAAAATACCCTGGCAAAACCAAATGTTCCGAAGATGTAATGTCTCTCTTTAAACAGAGGAAAGTATGTGATCGCCACCAACCTTAAACAGGATGAATATTTCGTATAGCAAGAAGCAATGCATATCCAAAACATTATTTGATCATAATGACAATCGTGCAATTTTACGTCGTCGATTTCATCATCTTTAAAAGCAAATTTTGACTAACAGATAAAAATGTATGAAGACACTTAAAACCGATCGATATCCCGGATATTCATATTACATCTCTTTTACAGACGTCTACCACACGATCGATAATTATCCAGTGTATGTGATCTTGTGGATCGAGAACATATTTACATGCATAAAAACAAAATAATATAAATACCGTACCTAACCATATAGAAAGGCGAACTCCCAATGCTGCTGCCATATAAGGCGTTACATAAAAGCTTAATCCCTCTCCAACGAGTCCTAGTGAACCAAATGCCATGGGTATGAAGGAGGCTTCTGGGAAGCAATGGGCAACCACTCTGGCCTGTATTACTGAGAAACAGCACGTATATTTAGCAAAAGAAACGACATGGCCCTATTTGTGTGAATTGCAATATTTTGGATAAAATAGCAAATCATTGTAGCACCAACTCTTGTGTTATTCGACCGGGTATATGCAAACACTAGTTAAACATTTTTAAAGAAAACGAAGGTTGCAGTAACTGCTATTATCACTGAATTACAATAATGGTTGATTCTTCACCTAATTGTACACACGGTAGTAGTTACATACATTTGAGTGACCCGCCCCCAACGGCCATTATGCTTCGCCCAGCAACCATCGTCAAGTACATTGGTACAGAAGTAGGAGAATGTGACATGGCTCCTATAGTGGACAGGATACACCCAAGCAACGCCGTTAGGCTCAGGAGAATTGCAGATCCTAATATAAACAAATGTAATGAAGCGTAAAAATGAAATGTACACGTGTGTCCCCGACAACCACCTTAGTTGTTTGAAGATTAACTCGGCAAGGAATTTTTGTTCGGTCTCAGTTTACATTGGATCATTATTTATTCGTTCTGTGTCCTAGATCTTCACGACACGAACCTGAAATGCAACGCCTAGTCGGGATACACACATGTTAAGTTCATGAAGGAAAATGTTTTATTCATGATATGGCCAAGTCATGGCAAATCGGGAGGCTGACCCTCACAATGACTTTGACCATAGCAGCACGGAGTAAAAGTGATACTCGAAACACCGTATGCTCATGTTAAAGGACTGAACTGAGTAAATGGAGAAATGTATGTTTAACAAACCAATAGGTTTAAGATTCATTGGATTATTTTGTGTGGGACTAATAATATCATGTAACCTGCTAACGTCCTGAAATGAAGGGTCGTCCTGGCAAAATAGACGCAACATAATACCGGTGAGCGTAGGGTGATAATTCATGAGATGGGTGTCATCACAAACCCCTAGTTATAAAGGGAAGTTGGTACATGTACATGTAAGTGGAGTATAGATTCAAATAGATTCAAAACTTCCATTACATATAATTTACATATATGATTCAGATTATGAAAATATGGATGCATCTAAGATACAATACTTAAAAGTTCTTATTTACAATGTAAATATGTAATGTGTTATGACCCTGATCTGTTATTCCGAGATACAATATCATATGCTTTTAATCGTACATAAAATAAACCCCCGCCATTTTGGAAAGGTTTTAAATCATCAAAAATAGAACAATTATCAAATTAAGCATTTAAATACTTAGTTATACAAGTGTACGACTTCCAATACATCTACTCACAAGATATTTGATGTACTTACTGCTACTCCCTAGTCTGTCGATCATGTAACCTGAGGGCAGACTGAATATGGCTAACCTGTCAATAACAAACATCTTCATTATTGTCGTACCTTGGTGTTCTTATGTTGCTCATGCTTTCATGTTACTTATATGAACTAATATCGTTATACAATTATAACAAATGCAAATTATAAACATGTTTTTCAAAACATATAATAAATATTTCTAACAACGGTTCTCTGTTGTGACACAGCGTTATACAACTGTATAGTGTTACTTACGTCCATCTCATTACGGAGAAAAGTACATTATAACGGACCTCTCCGAGACCAAGACACAAAGTGCAGTCTGTCTGCTTACTCGTGTTGTCTGACCCTGTAGTGTTTTGCTGTGAATACACAATACACGTGAAATACACAATAGACAATTATCTATCCCACAAAGCTTACATGCTATAAGTCACAATAAAGCGGTAACTTGTTAGACCTCGTCCCCGATGTAGCAAGACTTGTCCTTGGTTAAGAACCACGTATCATATGATTTTTTTTTAACAGACCATGCACGTAAACAGAGGAGCTGTGGCACTGGTTTCCTTTGTCGAATGAGGGTAAACGCATTTTATTTCGTATGTATTTGAAGATCTTACTTAACCTCTAGTATGTATTCACATGAAATGCCGATTGGTCAGTTTGTGGTGTTGATTGATTGAAATAATTATCTGGTACAAAGAATGTTTATCGTCAGTCGACCAAACGGCGACTGAAAATGCAAAATCGTTCCCAAATATACACTGATTAAACAGAAAAAGTAGGACAACTGTCCATGGGGTCAGAAATGATTAAAAGACGCAGATTGTTGTGAAACGAATATATAGGCATCACATGGCGAATGGTTGCACGCGCAAAAGAACAACCTGATTAAAATAATAAGATTTACAAGGTCATCTTGTTTATTAAAGGTCTTATGGACATTGAAAGTTGTAAGACACCCAAGCGGTAACTTGTTAACGTTTAAAACCACGCCAATACAAGTTTCTGATTGACAGGGGGATTGACAGTAGTCACAAATGATTCTAGCAGAAATTACAGTAGTGCGTGCTTCTACACATACACCTATTGACCAAAATTAAGCAAAATCTAGTAATTGTTACATTTGAACCAATCAGGAGTCAATATACGCAGACATTTTGTCCCACCATGAAACCAAATATGCCTTTGTGTTCGTACCTACATCCCAAGTTTGAATCAAATGAAACTACACACGAGTGCCTGAAAATGTGTAAGATTTCATTTCAGTTATGAATCTAGCTGCCGCGATCTCTGGTTTAAAGAAATGATCATCAACATCAGAAACTGCGACAGTTTCTCGGATGTGTAACGTTCAGCCAAGCGCCCTAATACTTAAGAAGAAGATGACGAATGGGAATAAGTTAGAAAGGCGGTAATAACAATACGTCCAAACTTTATTTTAGGGACTTAATAACGAAATTAAATAGTTCTGTACTTAATTCGCATTTAAATGATATGCTTCCAGCAAATGAAGTAGAACACTTAAAAATTCTGTTACATTTTAGCTTTTTATTCCTGAGGTCATTTGTGGTGGCATTGAAAGGAAAATTCACATTTTTTTCTAGTTTTTTTTTTAATTAATTAGATAGATACATTTTTATATATAAACATACAAATATATAATAGTTAACGATGGCATCTGTCACATAAGTTTAATAATGATATCATAATTACAGGATCGTAACTGGGTGATATGCTGTTGTTTGTGAGTAGCCGACCACTGATAACCATATATATATAATTTTATACTCCCTATGTTGTCATCACTTACTGT